TGAGCATCGCAAACCAAAATCATTTTCACACTAACGTTGCATTTATAATATGAATATTATATCAACTATTATCGTTATTATTATTAATATTATCATTATCTTTATTATTGTTAAGGTGATTATTTCAAGTGGCATTCCAGAAATTGAGAATTTTTTATTGATTTGATTTTAAACATTTTTAAAACGGTTATATTATTGCTGCAATTCATCACTAATTTTACCACACGATCAATAAATATTGTATAGCTTTTCATCATGTGCATAAAACCAAACATATAACAGTAAAAATAGCGATAATACTGCTAAAAACAGTGATAATAGAAACGACAATGATAATAACAGAAATAAATAATGACAGCAATAAATATTAACAATAAATTGAATAAAAAGGTGATTCGAATAACAATAACAATGCACACAAGAACAAGTACAAAATCGCTGAAATAAACGTGAAAGCATATTCTCATCGGAATTGTTGTGACAAGAAAGTATAGCAAGTTAATTGGCAACAAGAATACTGTCGGCAAGCAGTAATCGCTTATGACAGACAACAAGGTTATTTGCAGCTATTCATCAATGATGGTTAACCACAGGTGAAGTTTGCAGTGTATTCAGACACGAATCGCTGAAAATCGAAATGATCCGTAATCTCGGATGCATAATAGTGAGCGTCATAAAAATATTGATTTGCCAGCAGAATGTTGATAATTGATTGATCGTATCGGTGACAGTTCGCGTATGACCTCAAAAGTACGAATATCTTTAAACTGCAACGCTTTCAGAATTGCAAACAATCTACAACGTTCGTTTGCTGCTTAAAAGCAGTGAACGACTCAAAGCAATACCCGTAACGATCTGCATCGAATGAACATTGAAGATTGTAATTTCCACCCATACATTCTTCTTCAAGCGCACACAGCACATACCTAAAATACAAGTATACAAAATTACACCGAAAATTCCCACGGCACATCCATTTAACGTGAGAACAGATCGCACTCTTCGAATCCGATTTCTTTTATAAGATCAATGAAACTATTCAAAGATCTTTGGAAAATATTTTCCGATGTTCAGCAATAATGAAAAAAAGAACCAAAATGACTCTGATTCTTTCCAACGAATCGAAAATATTCTAGGATTTTTC